GGAATGTCGGGAATGGGGCCGGACCTGCTCAGGTGCCAGTCCTTGAGGTAGAGGCAGCCGCGGGGGGAGCGGTGCCCGTTCCCGATGCGTTCCCGCCAATATTCCAGGAATTCCCGGAAGGGCAGCTGCTCCTTGGGGTTGGAGTTGTACTCCCGGACGTCGCAGTTGGCCACGGGCACCACGGCTTCTCCTGGAATGACAAATCCCTCGGGAATTTCCCACGGGAAGGAGGAGGATTCATCAAATCCCCTCCCTAAATTTCATCCCTATGGAATTCCCGGCTTCAAATTTTCCAGAGGAATATTTTATATCCCAGAGCCATCGTTCCAGGGAAATACAATCCAGGAATTACAAATCCCTTGGGAATGAGGAGGATCCATCAAATCACCTCCCTAAAGTTGATCCCCATGGAATTCTGGGCTTCAGACATTCCAAAGGATCCCAATCCCAGAGTCATCATTCCAGGGGAACCAAAATCCAGGAATGACAAATCCCTCAGGAATTTTACTTAGGAATGAGGAGGATCCATCAAATCACCTCCCCAAAGTTCATCCCCATGGAATTCCCGGCATCAAATTTTCCAGAGGAATATTTTATATCCCAGAACCATCATTCCAGGGAAATAATACAATCCTGGAATTACAAATCCCTTGGGAATGAGGAGGATCCATCAAAGCATCTCCCTCAAGTTCATCCCTGTGGAATTCTGGGCTTCAAATATTCCAAAGGAACCATCCCAATCCCAGAGTCATCATTCCAAGGGGAATGTGATCCTGGAATTACAAATCCCTCAGGAATTTTCCTTGGGAATGAGGAGGATTCATCAAATCATCTCCACCTCAATCTCATCCCTGTGGAATTCCGGGTTTTAAATATTCCAAAGGAACCATCCCAATCCCAGAGCCATCATTCCAAGGGAACGTGATCCAGGAATTACAAATCCCTCGGGAATTTTCTCAGGGAATGAGGAATGATCACCTCCCTCAAGCTCATCCCTGTGGAATTCCAGGCTTCAAATATTCCAAGGGAACCATCCCAATCCCAGAGCCATCATTCCAAGGGAACGTGATCCAGGAATTACAAATCCCTCGGGAATTTCCCACGGGAATGAGGAGGATTCATTAAATCATCTCCCTCAAGCTCATTCCTGTGGAATTCCAGGCTTTAAATATTCCAAAGGAACCATCCCAATCCTAGAACCATCATTCCAAGGGAACGTGATCCAGGAAGTACAAATCCCTTGGGAATGAGGAGGATCCTTAAAATCATCTCCCTAAAGTTCATCCCCATGGAATTCTGGGCTTCAGATATTCCAAAGGATCCCAATCCCAGAACCATCATTCCAGGGGAACATGATTCAG